TCTCAAGTCAGCAAATCTTTATCATCTATGTGTATGTGTGTGTCATTCTGTGTGTATGTTTGCACATGTGTGCAGGCACCCACAGAAGTCTTCTGAGGGTGTTAGATCCCATGGGTCCAGAGTTACAGGAATTTGTGAACTACCCTAATGGTGTTTGGTATATATTTTATACCTGCTGCCTGCTGTGGTTTGAGTAGATATGACCTCATAGACTCAGTTGTTTGAACGCTTGACCCATAGGAAGTGGCACTATTAAGAGGTATGGCCTTGTTGGAGGAAGTGTGTCACTGTGGGGGTGGGCTTTGAGGTCTCATATATTCTCATGCTATGTCCAGCACACAGTGTCTCCTTCTGCTGCCTGAGGATCAAGATGTAGAACTCTCAGTTCTATGCTTGCCCACACACTGCCATGCTTCCTGCCATGATGATAATGGACTAAACCTCTGATCTGTAAGCCAGCCCTGATTAATTATTTTTCTTTATAAGAGTTTCCATGGTTATGGTGTCTCTTCACAATAGAAACCCTAATTAAGACATTGCCTCTAAACTGTTTTGCTTTCCAAAACAGTTTTTGCCTTACAAAACAGAGGCTGGAAGTCTAAAAACTACATTTCCCAGAATCCCTTGGCAGTTTCCTTCCAGACATGCTTGTTGATAGAGCACAGTTGCTGGGAGAAGAGATGGTGACAAGACAGACATTGAGTCTGAATCCCACCAGAAATAACAAAGAGCTACAAACTTGGCCTTGCCATGAGCTCTTAGAGACCCTGCCGCAATGGCACAGTGTCCCTCCAGCAGTCCATGGCTAACTTGAAGAAAAGGAGTTTTCAGATCTGCTTGCAGCCATGTTAGGTCATATGACAAGTTTGGGTTGATGGAGAATGAGTGATGTGTGTTGTCTCAGGGCCATGCCCTTGAAGGGAGGCATAAGTGAGTGGTCTTGGACCACAGAGCCTTGGTCCATGGGATGGTGTGGGAATACGTAGATATGGCAGGGACACAGATGCTGAGGGACTCTGTGCTGGAACTCCTTCCTAGAAAAAAAAAATAAACCTCTTACCTGTTGTTAGCTAGTAGAATTATTATTTTGAACTTCTGCTAGCAGAGTCCAATTTGCTCTCTAACATTTGAAAGGTATGACCCATGAAGATTAGATATGGCAGCCCCATTTCCTGGGTAGGGCCTGGCTTCAGCACTTTTTCACACATACTTTGGAGGATCAAGTGTGCAACCAGATTTGAGAGCATGGTTGTGGTTCAGTTCATACCCTGACTCTACCAACCTCAGCTCAGGCTGGGCCAGGGGTAGCTCTGTGAATACAATTTGTGTGTTGTTTCTGGGACTAAGCTAGCCGTGCGGGAGCCGGGTGAGGCAAAAAGCAGGCCTGCCCGCAGCCCCTCACTACACCCTGACTCTACCAACCTCAGCTCAGGCTGGGCCAGGGGTAGCTCTGATGATTTGGCAGTCATATCTGGAGAGGCCTAGAGAGGCACTGTGAGCAGGAAGTCAGGAGGAGGGGCCTGGACAGGCACTGTGAGCAGGAAGAGGAGCTCTGACCAGACAGAAAGCAAACAGCACAAAGGGTGGCAGGCTGCTTTTTATTCATCAATAATTTAAATACCCTTTAGTGTTCTCTCAGCAAAGTGCTGCTCAGAGGAGAAATGTGTTGTTTCCAAGAGCTATAGGCTCGCCTGCATGCTGGAACCCCTCCCCAGAGAACGCAGCATAAGGAATGAGCTGTAAAGCCAGGGCCAGCTTCATTGGGAGGAGGGACGGGGGTCTCTGGTCAGGTTGGTGCAGAAAGGCCTTTGCTTCTCCTCAGTGCACAGTGAGGCTGGCTTTGCTCTGCATTAGGTGACGTCACACGGCAGGATGCCTGCTGGTGCCAGGGCTTCTCCAGGGTCACCAGGTCCAGGCCACATGTCTGTGGGGTCAGGAATGGCTTCAGAAGGTCCTTCTCCCTTCCCACTCTGCAGGAGGAGCCTTTAGGGTCACCCAACAACCCTAGCGATAGACAGACAAGCCCAGCATCTCTTTGGGATGCTGAAGTGCCCTGAGCTTCTGCCTGGCAGGGCCTCCCAGACACTGATAGAGATTTGTGCTTTTTTTTTTTTTCCTAAGAGTGTTAAAGGTTACACTAAGATAGACCCAGATGGCCCACAGGACCTATGGCGGCAGACAAGATGGAGTGCTGTTGGTATCAATCCCCCAGAAGCATCTCCTCTGTTAATAAGGGTACAGGTACCCTCGCCCTAGAACCTGTAGGAAGAGGAGACTGCTGGGAGTCTTGGTGACCAGCTAAATTTAGAGGTGGGCTTGGGGCAGGATGCTGGCTTCTGTGTAACACATAAACACATGCACACTGTACACAAAGCTCCTGGACACAGAGAGGAACAACACCCGAGGAGATCTCTAGAGAATTAAACAGGGAAATTGTTTCTTCTTCAAGTGGCCCCACCTGGGAGGGTCCCTTGAGGAAAGGGCTAGTGGCTGTTTGTAAGGCTACTGTGCATGGGTACACCTGTGCATGACATGCAATGGCCAGGGCTCCCTGTTGCTGCTCAAGGGCTGAAGGCCTGAGGCTGCCTAGCCCTTAGACCATCCCACCAGGACCTTGGGTTTCATTCGGAAGACACAGGGGCTGACTATGTGACTTTAGTGAACAATGACATGGACAATGGCTTCTTTATCTGTCTGCTCAATTTTAAGAGGGCCTGGGGCTCAGCTGCTGGCTTCTGTGTTCTGTGTGGCCACAACGAGAAGACAAAAGATTATGGGAATCCTACTGTGACATTACAGGAACCCACAGCCCAGTAGGACACTGTGAATGTGGACCTGAGGTTAGGCAGGTGAGCGGCAGCCCACAGGAGTTGGGAACATTGGTAAGCTGCCAGCCATGGGTCAGACTAGACCATGGAAGAGATGTTGCCATATAAGAATATGGAGCCCTTCTTAGGAAGCGGGTCCTTAGCAATGTCATTGTTTCCAAATGATAGGAGAGCCTATTCTTGCCTTTCCATGTTTTCTTAAACAAGAGGTCACACCACATAACTCTATTGCTCCATCAAGTTCCCTGACCTGGGGAGCCCCAGCTTTTCAGGAGCCCCCAGGCATCTGAGCCACTGAATCCTTTGGTCTGGGCAGAGGAAAATGATGGGATGTCATACCACATAGTGGGACTGAGACTGGTGTTGTGTGATGGGGCCAAGAGGGACAGGGGCAACAATGTACATGTGTCACTGGATCCCGAGATACTTGGAGGACAGACGTTTCTCTGGGACATCATGAGAGGGCAGGGAAAGAGGGGCTTCCTTTCCCTGCCCCCTTCAACCATGCCTATGCTTCCTTGAGAGACTTTGCTCTAACTGCAACCAATTGCTTTCTTCCAAAACCAACGATGCATAAGAAAGGAACTGAAAACCACTAAGGCTGTGCGGTATAGGCAACTCAGGGGAGCCTCAGAAGCATGGTGACAGAAGAGGCTGCCAAGGAGTGCTTGGTGTTTCTCTCCCCTGGAGGAGGATCCTGGTGGTTGTTCCCCTGCTTCCAAGGAGGCAGAATTCCGTGCAGTGCTATGCATTTGTCAGAATGATGGTTTGGATGTCTTATTACATGGTGACTTGGTGTCCGAGCCTTAGTCCTACTGTGCTGCTGACAAGCTCCCTCCCAATGGGCAAACTGCTATTTTGTCTGGTTCAGATGCCTCTGCCACAGGAATCTCTACATCCCCCTCTGGATGGCTCAGCTCCCCAAGTTATTTCCCGTTGCCTAGGTGACATCTCTAATTGAATGCTTTTTAATCTGTTTCTCTTTTAAAGGAATGAACCTGGTGCCTTACGTCCAGGTCCTGTCAGAAGCTCTATACTGGAGACTTAAGTCTCTTAAGAGTGTGTAGTTACTTCCTGGAATCAAAGCCATTATTCAGATGTTAGCTTATGGGCTGGTTCTGATGGACAGTCACAGTAGCTTCTGGAAGTATGACTTCTGGAGGGGTCTCCCCCTTGAAGATTTAGTAAGACTGCCTCTCTCCTGCCAGTCCTACCTCACCGGTATTTACACCAGAATAAAGCCTGTGTTTAGAGACCAACCCTAAACCAGACTACAAATTACCCAAACTAAGCCCCCGTGCCCTGTGTTGTTTTTTTATTTTTCTCTTCCTAGCTGAAACTGGAAGGGGAAAGAAGATATGGTTTTTAATGTTATGTGTGTGTGAGTGTATGTGTGTGCATGTGTGCCCACACACTCTAGGCACATCTGCCAGGGAGACAGATAGTATTCAGGTGATAATGTTTGCAAAGATTCCTACCAGAAGTGTTGTATATTGGGTCACACCATGAACGGACACTTTTCTTAAATGTTGACATTTCTTTAGATGAGAAAAAGGCAGAGGTATGTTCCTTCACAACTTTCAAATTCTGCCATTTCAATGAAGCCTTGGGTGTCTGGACTTCCCTCTGCAGAGCAGGAGTCTGGGAAATTCTGTCCTTCAGCCTGAGGACCATTCTTCAGAACATCACTTTTATCCCACCATCCCTTCCATCCAGGTTCTGGTATCTCCATCCCTCCTGCCTCCTCCGCCTCCAGTGTAGAGTATGCAGAGAAAAATAGACCCACCTGGTTATTTGGAGACCACACAGGGCTCAGAATGTGATCTCATTGTGCCTGCCCCTAAACACTATGTGGTAGGCACAGGAGTTTAATGGCCTGACATTTGCAATATGGCTCTTTTGGCTTCTGGTGCTGTAGCGCCCCCCACCCCCCACCCCCGTGGCGGGTAGAGGGCAGAGCCCTGAATCAAGGAGGTGGATGGGGGCTGTGCGCTGCACCTCTAGGCTCTCTAAAAGGGGGAAAGAGTTGAGCTGGCCAACAATAGTTAAGAAGACAACAATAACAAAATCTTATCTGAGACGAAACAACCAGGCCTGATTAGGAAGCGGCCCTGCCGGTGCGTGAAGCTTGTGAATGAAAAGGTCGGGGGCTCATTTCAGAGACCTCCCCGAAGCACAGCAGGACTCCCAGTCAGAGAGGCCTCTCCCTACAGGTCCCTCTGAGTTTACACAAGAACTCACGAAGTGGACTAGCTGAGGGCTGAAAAAGGCCCGCTAAGCCCCTCACCATTTGCAATTTCCAAGTGTGGGGGGAGATACCACCGACCGCTGGTTGGTGCTGTTTCCTCTCATTGCATAATACTACACCGTTCCCGGTGTGTAGTGGCTGTTCTATATATATACACGGGAAGGCAACATATGGCGCTCCCTACCCCCACCTGTCAAAACTGTGACTATATCACTTCTGACGACCAGAAGGAAGCTGCTAGGCCGGGCCAGGATTCTAAAGGCTGAGGAGGTAATTCAGAGCCATGAAAGGCGGCACCATATGCTTCGGGGTTGCCAGCTGCTTATGCGCATGGGGAAGGCTTTGGTGCCTGTCTGCAAAGCCCAGGAATGCACTGGCGCGGGGAGGGGGAGTAGATTTTGGGGTGCCACTTTTTCTCTTTTCCAGGAAGAGAAATCTGTTGGCGGCCACGATTCTCCAAGAGGGGACTCAAAAGATCACAGTCTCATCTTAAACTTGCCCTTGATAACGTCAGGCCTGGCCAAATAGTATTTCTTTAGAAAACATTTTTTGTTTTTGTGGTTGGTTTTTTTGTTTGTTTGTTTGTTTCGTTTTTATTGGATAAAGATTAAGAAAGCGCCATCTCGGAGAGAAGAACTGAAGCAAACCCGCCCTACGGCGCGCAGCCCGAGCAGGGTCCGCGGCGCTGGGGGCGGGAGGCCGCTCTACCTGGAGGCGCTGGTCTCTGCCAGCCGGTTGTTCATGATGCCCAGCGCGCCCACGCCGCCCGAGAAGCCGTTCTGGCGTGTGTTGACGCACACGCTGCGCGGGTAGCCGTTGGCCGTCTCGGACAGCTGCTTCTGCAGCAGCGCCAGCGACACCTTGTTGGACGCTGTGAGGTCGCGCATGGAGATGAGCTCGCCGGACAGGCGGCGGCCCTCGGCGTCGCTGTCGCGGGTCGCGGGG